AGCTAAACATGTAAATATGGCTCACCTTGGTCAAAAGTGGTCTTCAATGGCATTAAAACGATAAAAAAAACGATGCTGCAGTTAATCCATAGGTTCATCCTATGTGTCTGTGCCTTCTTTGAAATTATTTCTGATAATCCATAAGCAATACAACTGCGTTTTAGTTTCCAAACTCCAGAAGGAGACATTCCTCCAGTTTAGTTTCGCTTTCCACACGCGAAGCGGCAACATTTTTTCTTTATAATGTGTGTCTATGTGAGTCTCCTCCTTCGATTCTATTGGCTCTAACGGTCACAAGGGTATGTCAACCAACCAGATCGAGCAAGGGGGGCCAGAGATAGGTCAAATCCACCCAAATGACCCCAGATGGCCCAGTTTTTGGCTAAATCTCTCTAAAAAGGTCAAATTTCACTTGTTTTGCATCAATCTTGATACAGGGTACTTATTATATGTTGTACTTTGGATTCCTAAAGCTTTTAGTCTACTAACCCATCATCCAAGGGTAGTTTTCACTATCTGTAAAAAATAATTTTTGGACGGACACTATAATTTACAGTTTTTTACTATGTAAAATCTGAATTTTCTTTAAAATAAAAAACATTTATATTGATTCTGACACTTCTACATCCAACTCACAGGTTTATCATTACTTTGAGAAAAGATTATTAATTTAACCCTTTTAGAAGGGAAGATATGGTCATTTGTTCTGGGAATGTCATTTTCGAGCGGAACAGGATTTATACATCTTAGAAAAAAGGGTTAATATATATATGAGAGAAATATATAAATAAGTGTTCTGCCATGAAAACATGGGTTGTTTTTTTAGGAAGAAACTGCAGAAAAGATAGTTAGAGCATAAACTAATAAATAATCTACAAAGTCTCTGATTTTATTGCATGTGTAATAAAAGCTGATAGCTGTTACTAATATTTTCATCCCAGCCTAATTTGACCTTCACAAACTAGAACAAATACTCTTTGTTTCTGCAACACAAAATAAAGATCAAAGAACAACATTTTTTTTAGGTTTTTTTTATATGTGATGTCACTGCTGTGCTCAAGCAAATACAAATCTGCTTATCCCATCAGATTTTCGGGTTGATGATCTTGCCCAAGAAAAGGATGTTTTCTGTGATGCGTTCAACAATGGTAACCATAAATGGACGATTGAACTTCAAGACAGGGATATTCTGGAAGGCCATATCTGTTATGATGTAGAAGCCTGTGGCTGCTGCAGCGGTGGCTCCGGCCTCACCGACATCAAGGGTGGCTTGGTGCACAACCTGCAGTGAAACAGAGATAACGTTAGATGGATGGAATGTAGGGAAGAAAATGTGTGTGAAATATATTATCTTACGTCTGAGACTGCCAGTTTTTGCCCCTCTGAAATGCCACTAAAATCTGCAAGATCACTAAACATGTCGGTCATTCCCATTGAGATCAGCATATCGTTCAGTGTGTAGGAGGTCTTGATGGAGAACTTTGGAATAAAGACATCATATCTCCTAAAATAAAATGAGAAATAGGCAAACAATAAGTTATGATCTGACAGAAATAACTGATCTACCAGGACACAGCTGAGTTTTTTACAGTGTCAAACCTTCCATGTTAGAAACCAAGAAATTGATGATGATTTTAGATTTGTCCAAACCTTTGACTCATCCCCTTCAGCCATTTGGTGACATGCCCTGGGCAAATGGTCGACTCCAGCATTGCCATGTCGTCAGGCAACATCAGCAGCATGGAGTAGGTGCTGTTGAAGGGCAAGTGGAGGACTGACGTGCTGATTGCCTGGTCGTAATAGGAATCAAAAGTGTCCTCCATATTCATCATCTGGACTGCAACCTGGGAAAATATCAAACATGAGGTGTCTGGATCAGAAAAGACACGCATACAAGGATGCTCAATTATTTATATTTACTGAGACTCAAAACCATTCTGGATAAATGCTGCATCTTTGAACCTTGTTGTTGTCATCCACATTGAAGATATCCTCCATGGTTAGCATAGCATGAAATGGAGTCACCCAATTTCCTGTTGGATGATGAGCAGGTAGTAAAACAAATGTTGTGGTTAACATTTTAACCAGTAATAAAGGGTTTAAAAGAGGATATTTTGGGGAAAATAATATTTTTGCGATGTTTTTAGGAATCACATAGACCAGGCTATAACTAAGAACAAACCCCTCTGTTAAAACCTTCAGAATATAGATCGGAGTAAAACTTTGGTGTACGTAATTGCTAGTGAAATGGAGATTTCTGGCTCAAAGTATGACAAAAAATCATCTAGAGTTTACTGCCTTCAAAGAGACAAAGTGTAAGCATAAGTCGCAAGACACTAAGAGTGAATAGCGTAAAAAATACTAAAATAAACAATGTCACTTTGGAATCAACAAGTTGATTACTTACATTAAGACACTTATTTACTATGACATCTTTTTCTAAAAATGTTGTATTTGATTATTCACATTCATGATAAAGTCTAAATGGATTCAGGAGAAATCTACAGATGCAAAAGTTAGTAAAATGAATAAATAATAAATAAATGTGGATTTTTGTGTGAAAGCAAAACAGCCCTGAATGAATAGATTGAAAAATGCTGTTTTGCTTCGGGGTTGCAGCCCTAAATGTGTGAAAAAAAACAAAAAAACAGATCTGCTTCTTCTTCTCATGAAACCTGATACCTTTGTAGTAGATGTAGCTGATGAGATACATGACTGTGCGCTGATCCAAGCTCTCGACAAGTTTCTCTATCTTCCCGTTGGTCTTGTCCTCCACATACTTATTGATGGTATTGGCACTTTCTGCGGTTTGGGTGAAGTCGACATTGAACCCCTCTGCAAAGTAAGACTGCTTCAAGGTCTCCAGGAACTCAGGCTTTGGCTTGAGGCGGTTGTCTATAAATACAGCAGTCCCTTCGCTGACTTCTTTCTGAGATGGGCTGTTTGTCTCTTCTAGAAGTTTATGGAAAGCTTGATTAACTTCTTCCTGTGTCAAGAGGGTGCTGTTGAAACCTAAGCCGCTGAATATCTGACTGTGGGTCATACTCCGTGCTCCTACGGACAAGGCAGCCAAGGCGTGAGACACACTGATTGGGGAGAAGAAGATGTTCTTTCCCGCTGAGTCATTATGAGCTGCTAACTTGCTGTACAATTCAAAGGAGAACTGTTTGTTTGCTGAATTCACTAGAGAGAGGCTGGCGGCGCTGGGTTCAGGTCCAGTGTTCTGGTCTCCCTGACTGTGGCCATAATGGTGATCTCCTCTCCCCACGCAGATCACTGCTGATAAGATCCATATCCCCAAGGCGGCATGCATCATTGTGAACTAAGACCAAAGTTAAAAAGTACATTGTTAATTTGGATTACACAATATTTGCTGCTGGGAGGGGGGGGGGGGGGGGGTTCTGCCTCTTTAGCAGGCGTCCCTCCAGAGTTCAAAACTGACCTTTGCGGCCTGTCTTCCCCTCTATGTCCCCCATTAATATCTACAATCCAATAGCAAGGCAAAGAAGAAGACATTTTTTGAGAAACACTAGTCGACTGATTTTCCTAGAAGCTACATTAAAGGGGACCTATCATGCAAAATGCACTTTTGTACGTCTTTTATACATGAATATGTGTCCCCGGTGTGTCAGGGAACTCACCAAGTGTCAGAAAACACAACCCTCTCTCTTTTCCTCCATACCCAAATCTCTAAAAACGGGGCTGCAACGGAGCTGATTATTATTTGAATTTTTCTGACATCAGAAAAGGGGTGCTCCGCCTATATGGGCAACTCTCCACCTATCAGGGGAATGAGAGACTGCTCGAAAGCGCTGGAGACGCTGTAGTACATATGCCAGGCCTGTAAGTGGCGCTGTAGTCTGCCACAAAAGTAGAATCAGCCCTTGCAAAAACAGGGCTGGAAAAGAGCAAATAGAGCGAAATGAGGCATGGCTAAAATGCATAATCTGTTTGGTATTTTGAAAAAAAAACTTCACAGACATGTTTTATATAGGTATGGCCCTACAATATATATTTCAAATATAGCATGATAGGTCCACTTTAAAGATATTGTTTTAAAGGCCTTACACATATTTTCCTAACCCTCTAATGACACAGAAGAGGTTCCTACTGTACACGCCATGTTTAGCAAATTCTTTGCATTGTTTTTTAAATTGGTTTTGACAATACTGGTTTATTTAGAAAGCAGATGTCATGTGTGTCTGTGCACCAATCAGGGCTTAAAACACGTTTAAATTAGAATATTTTTATTTTATTAGAATCTAATAAGTAGGTGGGTTGTTCAGTTACTGTCAATGACATTTGATTTACAACAACACAGAAAATGTGTAGATTTTTCTGATTGTTAAACTCATTGACATTATACATGAAACTCTTGATAAATAGTACTTAAATTAGATAGTTTTTAAAATTCCCGAATTTAAAATAATACATCAAAAGAGGGATACAAATAGTCATTTTTAACAACTCTACATTTACATTTGAAACACGTTGCAGATGTTAAATATTTTCAATTCCGGTGTACACAGGGACATCTCACACATAGTGTCATACATAGTTTTTCACTTTTGAAAGAGTATTCAAACGTGTGTTTACATAAACATGTTATATGAGCTCTCTGAATCTTTTTACTTACCTTCTCCTGGTTGAAGCAGAGGGAAGCACAGGCAGGTCAGAGGGAGACTTCCCTTTTATAAGACTGATCAGAGCTGCTGAACTTTGTCTTTGTTTATTCATCATCTCAACCTCATATTTGCTCTGCTCCCAAATTTGCTCTGTGTAGCAGTAAGTCTGTGTAATGATTACTATTACTGACTAACCATGGAATCAAACTGCACGGATAAAAGCACAAGTCAAGCTACCACTGTCATCAGCATGTACAAAAATATGTTAGTGATAAGTGCCTATTTTCGCACTCCCCTGTTAATTAGTGAACCGACATAAGTTACATCTTTATTCAAACTATTATAGGTCGTACCTTGGCGTCAAAGAGTAGCAGTATGAGCAAAAGTGGGAGAATACCATCTTAGCAATCATTCTGTGATACTTGCACCTAACAAGAACATTTCTTTTGCATATGCCCTATACATAAAAAATCAGATCTCTGAAAACTAAAGCAAAGCTTCCCTCTCAGAGGACATAAACAAAGCAGATTGGCTCATTGTATTGAAATGTGTTCATGTGGATAAAGCAACTTGAAGCCAAAAAAGACAAGCAGAATCAAACAGAGCCTGAGGTAACTGATGGCATTTAAAAGCTGATCAGGTCAAGAAAATTAAGCCTTGCCCATAAAAGAAAAAAGCAGGGATTAAATCAGTTCAGAATGCAACAAGAGGCAGCTCAACAGATGCTGAAAAGATTAGTAATATCTCTGAAACTCATTGAAACAGAAACATATGGAAACATGTCTCACAACTAGTCTCTCAGAATAGACACTTTGCACACATGGACTTGTAAAGAAACTGCTTTTTTTTAATAAAATATGTATTTGATGTGATATTGTTTCTGTAGCACCGATTGTCTGCAAGACATTTAAAAAAAAAAACACACACAATTCATTAACATGTACAAATTGACAGAATATATATAAATAGTAGTACTAGAAGTGCTTTTAAATCAGTGTATCTCAAAATATAATAATACGCGGCACACTTGAGCTTTCTTTACCATGTTATTTCCCTCATGTTCTGGATCTGCTCAACATGCTACCCAGCAGCGTTCAGTGTTTGCCAAAGAGCTGGCCGTCCAGTCTGATGAGCTGTCGGAGGAAACCTCGATTAGGGATGACCCCCCGGTTTTGTTTCACCGCACAAATGGCCTCCACGAGGCTCAGGTTGTGCTTCAGCATCAGGTAAGCCAGGACCAGGGTGGCAGAGCGGCTCACTCCTACATGGCAGTGCACCAACACTTTGCCTGGGAAACATAGAAACATAGCAATGAGGGCTGGGCCATATCATATCTATACTTTATCAATATGGTGAAATTAGATATTGTTTCATATTTTGGATTATTGTAAGTGTTGTCTTATCCTAAATTGAAAGGCTAAATTACAGTAAAGTGATTTAATTTTCTTGATTGACCAAACTCTTGTATTATTTGGCTCCACCCACTTATAATTTTATTTATAAAAATTGTAATTGTGTAAAGAATTTGTGAAATCATGAATGGTTGGCCCAACAATACTGTCACAATAAAGATATAAAGTATTTGGTAAATAGAAAAGACTTGATATAAACTGAGGTGAAGCTAAGAAGCTAAGAAGTCCTGCATCATGTGTGTCTCTGTGAGCTTAAAAGAAACACATTTGTTTCTTGAAACAAAGTAGAAAGGGATTAGCGGAGAAATCATGATAGGAGTACAATCTATAATTTAAGTGATGATTTTTGTGAGTTTTTTAAGCTACTCTGCAGACCAGATCAGTGTATTATAGTCTTTTAGATCTACAGTTAACCTATTCATGTCTCATTTGTGTGGAATCAGTTTAACTGTATATTTCGGCTAAGAATCTGAAACCATCTTGCCAGTTGAAGATTATTTTTATTAGACAACTGCCTTTTAAATTAATGTTCTACCCCTCCCCTCACCTCCTCTGCTGAGAGCCCTGTGGATGAAGTCTGCTGCTGCCCTGAAGTTGACGCTCATGTCAAAGCCACAGGAGTCATGAGCCTCTATGCCCATGAGTAGTGTTACCAATCCCGCTTCAATCACATTAGTATGCATAAAAAAGTGACAGGTCACACCTTCTAAGTCCCGCCCCCTAATTATGCTAATGAGCCCCCTTTGATATGCTAATGAGCCCCTTTGTTCGAGGTGTTATCGCATACAGGTGTTACATCCTCCCGGTAGCCCCCACCCCTCTCAGCCCCCACCCCCCCCCTTAGCCCCCACCCCTTCTCAGCCCACCCCCCTCCCCCTCACATACAGGTGTTACATCCGCCCTGTAGCCCCCACCCCTCTCAGCCCCCACCCCTCTCAACCCACCCCCTCCTCTCCCCTTACAGTAGGCGTCACATCCTCCCTGTCGCCCCCCACCCCTGAAGATAGTGAGGGGATGGAGTCAGTCATAAAAATAGAAATCTATGCAAAACTAGATAAAAGCCAGTCATTTGAGCTTTGAAACAAATTGATATGATTCGATATTAAACCAACTAATTATAGTAGATTAATTAACTATTCAAACGTGTACAGTAATTTACAATAACACGGGAATAATAAACGGGTCAGCAACAGCGGGTCTCCCCCGTCAGATTAGACTTTACTAGATTAGACTTTACTAGCGTTTATACCCATATCGATCAGATCTAGCTAGTTCTAGCTAATGATATGACTACCTGCTTATTAAAAGACACCTAAACAATAAGCGTCACTATGCAACGGGGTGAGGCCACAAAGTATAGTACAGCATTATGCATTTTGTTTACATGCCCACCGGAACCCCGAGGCATTACCAACAGATCAACGCGCAATCAACCCATACAGGACATCTCTTGCTACACATTATGTGTAGACATTATAATTGACTATTCTTGTCTGTCACATACTCTTTTGTCTGTCACACACTATTCTTGTATGTCACATAAGTGGCGCAACTGATGCGGTATTGCGCTAAAGGGGGCCAGTCAAGAAACGGGTGCAGTATCTGTGCCGGGTTCAGACCCTCCGTCTGAGGCTCTTCATGAAAAATGGAGTCTGGGTGTGTGAGACTGTCTCCCCTCATACCCCCTCCCACCCCCCTCCCCTCCCCCCTGCCTGTCACCTCCTGATCTTGCGATCAGCTGTTAATTCTCATTCACTAAGTCACCTAAAACTTTTATTGGAATTGGGTTTTCTTTAGAGCTGTTTTCAGTGAGACAATGCAGTTTCTGATCATTTTAAGTTTCAAGTTTCAAGGCTTTATGGCATATGCCCATTAGCTACAGTGTAGATATGTCAATGAAAAACATAGGTCACAGGCTCCTCCAACAGTGCACATAAAACAGATAAAATACTGCAATTTGTGCGTAATTCTCTCACAAAGGAACTGTAAGATACACGTTTATGTATGGAAAACTATATAACTTGGTAAAATATTCATTCATTTGTAATGAATTGAGTTTTCTTCAAGAATCAAACTCTAAATGGAGAGTTTGTGATTTTAACACTGTTTCGATGAAACAATGCAGTTTTGATAACTTGACTTGACTAACATTACTCTTTTAAATATATGTTTTTTAGATGCTTTACTTTTTGATTTCTTTCATATTATTTTAACACAACATTACTTTTTTCATATTTTTCAACATACATATATATAACATATATATATTTTTTTCTCTCCATTATATTTTTGAATATACAGTGATTTTTATCAAAATACAACATGCAACTATTACATTATACAATATTACGACTTTTTGCGATATTTTCAACACAATATACCTTTTTTTTGTAGGGCTTCAGGATATTTGGCATGTCATGCCTAAAACCGGTGTCATCTTTCCTGAAACTGACGTGCTGTCCGTTTTACAAACAAGTTATCTTTCTGCTTCTTCCCCCTATGAATTTTCCTCCCCCGTCCCTCTTACTACAGCCATCACAACAGCAACCAAGTCAGATCTGTGAAATTAAACACCTCTTCCCAAAGCGTGACTTCCCTATTGAGGGAGTGGGGCAGTGGGGCCTAACACGCTTTGGCCAAATATACTAACATGCAGAACATATGGTATGTTTGAAAAAAGACTAACCATCTATCCAGTTCAAGCTGTCTTTAAGATGTGACATTGCGCTCTGACTTTTCCCCGTAAAATCGTGACAAACTATTACTTATTAAATTTGACCTCATGCTGCTTGGTTGAAAATGATAGATGAGCATTTACCAACAGATCAACGCGCAATCAACCCATACAGGAGATCTCTTTCTACACATTATGTGTTATCACTATAATATCATGTCATTATTTAATGTTGTTTTGTTTGTGTGTGTGTGTACAACGAAGTCTCTTTGAGAGGAAAATTATAATTTAAAGATCTTAATACCCCCTTATTGTTTAATTACTTCACACAACTATTAAAGAATCCCTATATGAAGTTACATGAGGCTACATTTACTGGTGTGCTTCCCTAGATGATGTAAATAGTCTAAGTGTCATGTTAGGGGGGCATTACGGACCTCAGGAGTCCGCCCTTGGAGGCTTGGAGAGCGGATAAAGAGAGGTGTATTTACTGGGGTTGAGCCCTGGATGATATAAATAGTCCACGTGCCATGGAACTCAGGAGTCCGCCCTTTGAGGCGTTGTTAACATTAATGCTTTTTGCTTTTGTTTTTGTTACTAAGATACTTTTTTAGCCTTATGATAGGATGAACTTAAGCTGTAGTCAATAAAGACATGTTTAATAGAGTGTTGCTGTTAGAGAACATACCTGCGCAGCACTCCACCACGTCTTGGCTTTGGCTTCATGGCCTTCACTGTCCTCTCCCTTTGAGTTTTTTCAAAGGCTGGGATACATTTTTCCAAATGATCACTTGTTACATGGTGACAAACATATGGTTATATAACCTTAAAGAACTAACAAAAAATAATTAAGTATTTGCAATGCATAAACATAGAAGTTATCACTGTCAATATTATTCACCTGGGCATTAGTGGGCTTGAGGGTCTCAGGGAGCGTGGACAAAGTGACTTGTCTCTGTATTTGAGGATTCTCAGTGCAGGCACTAACAGGAAGCTGCTGTGCATTAGTGGAGAGTCCTCTGAAGGCAGCTGTTATTTCATTCACACACTCATCTGCTACCTGCTGACTCCTCATAGTAAGTCTAGCCAAGTTAGCTGTTAAGTTGTCCATACCATCGCTTGATAACTGGTAACTTTTGATTGACAGTCCAGCCATGGCAGCTGCCAACTCGTCCATATAATTCTTAAGAACGTGGTGACAATACTACAAAAAAAGTGTATATATTAGGTCAGTTAACCTTGAAGAGCTAAACAGTTCAAGTGGTAAGTAACTAAGTATTTGCAATGAATAAACATAGAAATGATCACTGTCATATTATATAATCACTTAATATGGAGATAAGTAAAACTGACACAGACAGTTTAAACTGCTTGTTAAAACGCTATTGCTTATTGTGTTTTCTCAGCACACTAACATAAATAAGGATGTATAATATAAAAAACTAGAAAACGATATAGTATTTTCAAGTCTTACTTTAGTATGGTAAAATTAAGAATAAGTCACATTAAAGTGTGTCATGATTTTCCGTAAAAAAGTCAAGTATAGTTTGTCAAAAGAATATGAAAAAATCATTTTGTAGAGTAGTATGTTGAAAATCTCAGTGTTTAACTGAACACACCTACATGTGATAACGCCTCGAACAAAGGGGTAATTAGCATACAAAGGGGGGTCACTAGCATCAGTGGGGGAAAGGTGCTACGGGAATGAACTTTGAGGAGGGGGAACTTGTAAGAATTTCCAGCTTTTGAAGATAATTATATGGTACCCGTCCTTACAGCTAAACAAATCCTATGCCAGGTATTCTACAGACCACAAGAAGCACAAGAAGCCCCAGAAAGTATTACATTCAGAGCTAATAATGGTGAAACCGAAGAAGAAGCAAAGCAGATTATAATCGTTGCGGGTGAAAGGATAGAGAATTTGCAAGTGATGTTAATGCACTTATCTGATATAAAAAAATGCATTCATTTACTTCCAAGAGACCCCTAAACATCTACTTGGGCAATGTGAATTGAACGATAAACCGATCACTGTAAATGAAACGCGGAGAGAAGCAGCAGTGCAAATCGTTAAGTCTATTACCTTGAATGCACTACGACATTAACTTGGTCAAATGTAATATGTCTTTCTGAAAATGTGGCGAATGGTGTGTTTTTCAATTAAGCAACCATAACAAATTAAAATGTGTTTTATTCTTGCTTTCATATATAGTAATAGTATTAACTCCTTTGACTAGACTGTACTAAAATAAGACGTTTCACTGTTAAATAAAAAAATGGAAGTAGAAAATCGAGATAATGATGAGGTTCGTTATGTATCCAGTAACTATGAACAGCAGTTGAAAATGTTATTTAACCCTTTAACTCTAATAGACAAATCTAAAATAGCCTCTAGCTTATCTATAAGTTTGTGATTTTAACACTTATTCACTGACACAAGGCAGATTTTGGCTTTTTTCTCATGCCAAGATACTTTTAGACACACTTTGAGGTATGCAAAACCTTAAAACTAGAAAATGAAGTACATTGTCTGATTAGATTTTTTCTTAAAGACTGTTTCTCTAAAAGGCAAGTTTTGTGATTTTTAACACTTATTTACTTTTTTCTCTCTTTTCTTGTGTTACCAAGATACTTTTAGATACACTTTTGATGTATGCAACACTTAACAAAAGGGTATAATATGAAGTACTTTGTAAGGAATGGGGGTTTCTTTAATACCCCGTTTTTTTATTTTTAAAAACACTTGTACAGTTAAATAATGTAGGTTTTCTCTGATATTTTAGTTATTTTCAGCTACCAAGATACTTTTTTGATACACTTTAATGTAGGAACATTTGGCAACTGGTAGAATGTCAATTATTTTGTAATAAAATGTATTTTTTTAAAGACTGTGACTCTAAAAGGGGAAGTTTTTTTTTTTTTTTCTCCCGTTGTCTTTCACTTACTTTTTTGGATAC